TTGTCATAATTTTGTTCGTTTTGTGGAAACAGTGAGTCGCGTGACCACGACACGTCTTCTTTCAACGGCTTGTTTGTTCATTTCCTATGAAGAGATTCTTCTGCCCCCCCCAACAACTCCTAGAACAATTACCCATATGAGTTTGCTATGCAAAGCCAAACCTCACTGTCAGCAGACATTATCCTCTGTTCAGCAGATAGACAACGTGATGATCTGCTCTGCTATTAATGGGCAGTAGTACCGATGACGACCACCAATTCCTCTGTAGGGGTTCATAAACGGAATGCCATTTACCCACATGGAAATGCCTTAAAACGCGTCCCAAAAAGTTCTGTTAGCAGCAGAGGTTTCTTAAATAACTGTTTACGGTTTACGACAGATTTAACGGTTGTCGGAGAGGCTAAGGAGTCTAGAGGTCACCTGTATTACCGGTACCTCGTTCCGTCATACCACTGCATACTGTGGTCGTTGCCCAAAAATGGCGAAGAAACGGACCTCACTAATCTCGGAGCAAGTTTGTAGGATTCTGAGTATATCAGTATAAATTCGACACGGGTTTCCAGTTTTAAGAATGTATAATTTTTACATCAAAATACGCGTTATCATGAGGGCGAATCGATTAGCCTTATATTCACTTTGCATCGACGCGCTCAGGATAAACGCCTGATTCGTTAGGGCGATCTGCCTTAATGATGCTTCGTCATCTACCTCTGCATTTGCACAGAAACTGTCACGCTTTCGAAAAAAGTACGACATTTGGTAATCAGTGATGATTCATCACGGTCAAGTAAATTATTCTTTGACTCGAACCTCAAATAAAAAGGTCTCACCACTGCCATTCAAAACACAAATGCTTGAATGAGGATTTTACCTTCTTTGCCTTGTGATAGATAAATTCAGATTGCCGATGTTCTTAAAAATCCTATTCGATGGTTCTTCTAGATCATTCAAAGTAAGTGGAGGTCGAATAACCCGGTGCAATGACTTTCACTGCCGCAAAATAAGTTTAAAGCAACAAGGTATTGAGCTGGATCGCATTCTCTACACTAATCTTGGCCGAACCAGAACCAATCATCCTTCAAAACCAGTTACATAATCAATATCATCCATTTATTGAGTTTTTCACGTTTATCGATCGATCAGGTTAAACGGATATGTTCAGCATCAACCAACGGGACAGATCTTCAACGACCCTTCCACGTGGGCAAAAAACAGCGGAATTTGTTCACTGTTTCGCTAAGAATCAAAAACGACCAATGATTTAATAGTCTTGATGAAATTGGAACCCCGATGTTCTGGGAGCTGTACATACCGCCACTGAATGTATTACAGTAAAAATAATAATGATACCGGTTTGAAACGGCGATGAAAAATCAATTTCTCACTTTACACCAGCAGACTAGAGGGACTGTTTATGCAGGTCACGGCTCCATGGCATCTAAGCAGCTGCATTGCATAGGACGCAAGACCGCGTCTCAAACAATGGATAAACAAAATTATGTTTCAAACAAAGAACGATGCCACGATTCGTAGGAGAACGAGTGACAAAATGGAACTCCGAAGTTCTGGATAGCCATCGATAGTAAAATAATGATACCGGATTGAATCGGCGAATGCATTTTATAGTCTTCTTGTTGTAGCTCCTTCCTCAATATTGCAGTAAACCTGAGCATCTGTTGAACCGTTGTGCAAAGTTGTTAAAGTTTTATCCGACATGAAACATGGATTAGCCACTGGGAAGCCGACCGTGAAAGAGGTTCCATTCCTCTGTATGAAATAATTGGCGCGTCAATTGACCTGACACATAATACACATATACGGTCGTACAGAAATTCTCAAACCGATACTAGTCACTTTGATTCATGCACATCAGCTTCGATCAGTACGTTCGAACAAAGAGACAGTTTCAGCATGTCCACTGTAATAAAAACCAAATTTATTTTTATTCAATTATTAAACGGCAACAACTTGTGCTGCTTACTAGTCAACAAACAGACAGTGAAAAAAATTTCAGCCGTAAATCAAGTATAGACAGCAGAGACGTATCTTTGTGAAGCCCTGGTTGGGTTATACCAGAGCCCATGCCAAGCCTACTGTACCAACCCGTTTCTGGCCTGGTTGCACTAAAACACGGGCAAAAAGGAAGAAAGAAAAGTTTGTCACCGTTGGAATGTCGGTCTCTCTTCATTTCTATTACTGGGCCTTTATGACGCCTTTCTTTTCATGAAGCTGATGGCGTGGTGTCGATCGCCGTTACTGGCAAATAACCAGAAGGCCGTATTTTAGAGGCAGTCTACAACTGCCATGTGATAAACGAAGCTCGTACTCTTCTGTTTCCTTCCCGCAGAGTGGCACTCACTTGTCAGCCTCGGAAGAAAGAAGAACGAGTGACCAACCATGGGCTTGATGTCGGGACCTATCGGTTGTGAGTTCGACGCTCCACCAACCGAGAAAAGCGGGTCTGAAGCAACGTGCGGCAAATTCCTTGATTAAGGAAATTCGTGAATAAGACATAGACTCCCTCCATCATAACCTAAGCCTAATGCTGGGAATGCCAGAGAACAGATAAGTCGAAATTTCATCAACAGTGACACCAGGTTAAAAAAATTTTGTTAACATGATTATTGACCTTGCAACTTTGTCACTGTTCTTCCTTTGTCATTTGGTTTAGTGCGTGCCTAAGTAAATGTTTACTTTGTGATCGGTCATGAGAAAGTTACGTTTGAGGCTCACCTTGATCCGGCAAACGTCAATGCGTGAAAGCCTTAGTGCTAGGTGAGCAAACAGACTCTTTTCCTCGTTTTTCTGGCTGTGACTGATGTTTCAGGGTCATTAACTTTCTTCATCTGATTATTACGAATACTTTTGTAGTACACAGAATTTCAATGAGTGCGAGGTATGCTTCTTTTGAAATTTCTCGAACACGGGTACTCGAGGTCCGCTACAAAATAATAACAGACAAGTTCGACGCTGAAGACTCCTCCAGATCGTACGGATTAATATTACATTGAATAACAGTGCAGTGTGCACTGAACGACGAACCCTTCCTCTGATATTGAACGCATTTCGTTAAAATATTTGTTTCGCTGCCTCAAATTAGATATATCGTATGATCAGTATCGCATTTCGATCCCACGAGCAGATTGCTTCATATCTATCACTCACTTTAAGCCAACCCTGACCTACAAGCAACAATTATGGCGGGCGAAACAGAAGGAGATCAAAGCAAACATTATTCAGCAGCCCGACGGTACATCATGGAAAGGAAATATGGAAAGTTTGTAACCGCTGGAATATCTATCTGCCTTACTGTTTCTGGCTGGCTTCCTTCTTTTCATGAAGTTGCGGGCGTTGGTCTCCATTTCCATTCCATCAATCGAGAGTACCTCTTTCAAAGACAGTCGACAGGTGCTATATGACAAACGGTATGTACAAACGGCATGTCTCCGGTCTCCTTCCTACAGAGTGGAACTCACCTGTCAAACTCTGAAGAAAGAAAGGCCACTAATCGTGACTAGGGCTTCAACAAGAGACCTTCAGGTTCTGAGTCAAATGACTCACTGACTAAGCAACCCCGGTCTCTGTGCGTCATGAGGTCGTGTTGCGCGTAAGTTCCAAGCGTCGACAAGTTTTCGTGTTGTTGATCGCGAGCTACACCTCTCACAGTATGGCGCATAAGCTGCAACGTCCTTCTTCCCGATACCAAAGCAAATGTGCAGTCCGTATGGTCAGCAGAACCTTCAAAACACCATTGCCATCCTGGCTCACAAAGCTGGCGAACATCGAACCAAACCCCAACAGAGTAAAAGCGGCCACACTCCATGGATATGAAAAGATGCTAGTAGCTCCGAGTTTGCACTCTGACCAGAAGAACATTCTTGTGCCACCCGTTTCTGAGTGCATGGTTTTGTTCCGGTGACAGACGAGAATCGGTTCGTGTGCCACATATGACTCTCGACAATAGCTTAGTTGAAAATACGACAAGAAGGTCTGGAGCTTCTGTAGGCGACGGCAGACTCCGAGGTACGGTAGGTATATATTGCAAGTCAAAACATCGCCGGCGAAGTGCAATGGGTGGAACTCACTACCAGCAAGTGTCGCACCTCATGGCAACCTCCAAAAAAACAAGAGCGATACGTTGGCAATCCGCAAAACCGCTGACGACACACAAATGAGCCTACCGAAACTGCCAGTAAAACGCTGAGGAAGAAATTTCTAGGGGGAGGAAAGTTTCTAACCGTTGGATTGTTGGTATTCCACAAACTTTTATGATGAGACCATATTTATCGCCTTTATTTTCAAAAAATTAATGTAGGGTGCTGATGTAGATGTCCACGCCATCATTCAGGATTTCTTAAGCAACCATGTGTCAAGCACAGTGTGTAATTTCCTGTGTTTTTCCACAGCGTTGCACTCATTTATGAACCTCGGAAGAAAGAAAGACAAGTGATCATGACCAGAACCTAATCAGGGATTTCTAGGATCTGAATCCGACGCTCTACCAACTGACCAATCCCTCGGTCTGAAGCAACGTGTGGCAAATTCTTCTTTGCTCATGGGAAATCATCTTTACAACAAACGCTGCCTTCCGCGAAATGGAACCCGGCACCTCTTGGAGTTCGAGATTTACTGTTAGGCGTTATGCCAGCGAATAAGACATTAGCATAACTTCTCAAAGATATTATTGCGCAGATTGCTTCCACATCGACTGATGACACTGCCAATCAGAGAAGTCTCGCCAACGCGAAAACAAATTTTACACGAACATTACCTTAGCTAAGAACGATAAGAATAGAAGAGAAGGATAAGTCAGC